TAGTCCATGCAGAAATAGAAGTACAATGATGTACACCTGAAATTTTTACAATGTTATAAACCAATGTTACTGCAATAAACAAAAAATTAAAAAAAAAAAAACAAAGCACCAACCCAAGAGGCAGCCCGGGGCACTAGGGCGTCAGAAGGACTGAAATGTCCAAATGGGAAGAGGAAAGCAAGGAGAGCAGAACATGGGGCCCCGGGGCGGGGGCGAGGGGGGGACAGGGGGTGAGAAGAGAACTGGGAAGAGATAAGAAAAGCAGAATTGAGCTGGTCAGGTTGAGCTGGCATCAGGGTATTGGGGCTAGAACAGGCCATGTCCAGCCCCCAGCCCCTATACCACGATGTCAGACAAATGGTGAGACAGTCCCCGCGACATTCACCGAATCCCACCCGGACCCCTGGAACTGCCCTAGGGTCCTGCCGGGCTGAGGACAGCAATGAGCCAACTCAGCAGCAGCAGTACCCAGGGAGGCAAAAAGGGCAGCCTGGGCCAGAAGCAGGAGGACATGGCACAGTCACATGGCCGCTACTTTGCCAACCTCGTGGCAGCCCAGGCAGCTGCGGAGCTCAGCTAAGCCCTAGGAATCGCCGGCAGAAATTTATTAACAAATACACCAGGCCCCGCTCTGCCCCGCTTCTTTTGCACCCAGTCGTGAGCAGGGAGTGAGGGCTACACTTGTGAAATGTAACGTCCCAGTGAGCCAGGATGGAGGGGGAAAGCGGGAACCTCAGCCAGCTGGACCTGACGTCATCACTGAGAAAAGCTCCAAAGCTAGAAAAGCCTGCGAGACTGCGGGTGAGTGCAGCCAAATGCCCCAGGGACAGGCTCTGAGCAGCTGAGTATTAGGGCCCCAACCTCAGAGGCACCCAGATCACTGCCGCCCTCCCCAGCAAAGCCTACTGCCCACCCAGGAGCAGCACTGGTCTCACTGAGCTCCTGTAGAGACACCCCACAGGCTGGTCTTTCTCTGGCTTCTTCCTTCCAGAACAACCTTCTCTCCCACACACACCTCCCTCCCTAACCAAGGACAGCACTGTTGGCGACATCACCAGTGACCAGATTTGCAGACCTGTTTGCAGATTTCAGCCACCTCTGCCTCTCAGAAGCAACTTCCCCAGTTGAGTCACTCAGAGTCCAAGCTCTCTTAGATGTTGCAGCCATTATAATCTCCTCCTCCACCTCCCAGTGACTCAGATCCAGCCAGGTCCCCTTTCCTGTGGCCACATCCTGTAAGTGTCTGAACTCTCCCAGGGTGGCCTCTCTATTCAGTCCCTGGGGGATCACAGCCCAGTGAGGTGGCTCCCCACCTTCCACTCCAACACCAACTTCTCTCCGGACTCCCCTCTCCAACCTGCCTCAGGACATCTGCACCTCTGGACTCATCTGCCCCTCAAATCCAACAGGTCTACAAGGAAACTGCACATCTCTCACCACACCAGCCTCTCCCCCTCCCTTAGTTCTTTTAGCATCACCATCCTTGGTCCCATCTGCTCCCCTTTTCCCCTGCCTCATGGACTCAAAGTCAGCTCCTCCAACCTCCTTTCAATCCCACAGCCACTGCCTTAGTCCAGGCTTTCATCTACCTCAGCCTAGAAAATTGCAAAGGCTGCCTGAACACTGTGCCTGTCCCCAGTTATAACTATAAGGCCCCACACCATCCACAGCTGCCCCCTCTGCTGAATTTAACACATGATGCCTCTACTCCACCCTCAAAGCCCACAGCTGCCTTAACCTGCTGTCTGGCATCACCCCTGTCTGGCATTTCTCTGGTGACATGTCCCTTGGGTTGCAGTAAAAGTGGACTCCCCCCATCTCCTTACCCTGTCCCACCAGGATGCCACTGCTTAAGCATCTCCCTCCTCTGAATTACTCTCACCTCTGCCTTCCAACCCATCAGACTTGCACATCCTAAAAGATCATCCCAATTAGATGGTGGTGATGGTGGCACAACCTTGGGATTATACTAAAATCCACCTAATTATACACTTTAAAAGGGTGAATTATGTGATACATGGACTGTATCTCAATAACAATATTAATACTAACAATAATGCCATCCTGACAGACTCCTTCTACTGAAAGCCGTGCCTTATCCCCAAAACACATCTCTTGGTCTTTGGAACATCTTGCCTGTGGTCCTGAATCTTGGCTGCTTCTTAGAACCATCTGGAGAGTTTCTACTATCCTTATGCCCAGGTCAAGGCCAAAACCAATTGAATCAGTATCCATTGAGTTCCACCTAGACCTTCATATCTTTTAAAGCTCCCTTGGTGATTCCAGTGTGCAGGTAAGTTTTAGAACCACTGGTCTGGCCCATGGTTTGAACCTCCCTGATAGTACCAAGCGTGCCTGCCTTGAACCCCATCTTACCAATTTATATTTGCCCCAGTAGACAATGAGCCACTCCAGGAGCAGGAACTGTGTTCATTTCACCTTTGTCTCCCCTGCAAAT